CTCCCGCCCCTGCCCCCCCCGCCACGGCCAACGGCAGCGCCCAGAGAGACCTCTTTGACATGAGTGAGTGGGACGGTGGGCGCAGCCGGGCCTGGGTCGGGGGGTCTGTCCTGGGCTATGGGGTCAGTCCTGGACCCCCGCTCCTCTCCCCCTGCAGAACCTTTTGAAGATGCCCTGCGTGTCCCTGCGTCGGTGCCTGTGGGGCTGCCCCCTGCCCAGGTGGTGGCCTCCATGGAGGAGCAGCTGAGACGGGAGCCCTGGTACCATGGGAAGATGAACCGCAAGGAGGCCGAGAAGCTGCTGAAGGTGAACGGAGACTTCCTGGTGCGGGAGAGCACCACCACCCCCGGCCAGTATGTGCTGACCGGTCTGCAGGGTGGGCAGCCCAAGCATCTGCTGCTCGTCGATCCGGAGGGAGTGGTGAGTCCTCATTAATGTGCTGGGGACAGCTTGGCACGGCTTTGGGGGGCACCCTGGGGGTTACAAGAGCCACCAGGGCCTTGGGGCTTCCCCGCTGCTCCTCAGGGGATGCCTTGGGCCAGCGGAGAGGGCCTGGGGGAGTATGGGGGTCAGGGCTGCTCCCCCCAGGTTGGGGCCTGGCCCCTGGATGCTGGTGGCTTTGGCCTCCTGTGGGCATCAGCAGCCTCTGAAATGCCTTTTCCCTGCCTCCCCCTCCAGGTGCGGACAAAAGACCATCGCTTTGAGAGCGTCAGCCACCTCATCAGCTACCACATGGACAATCACCTGCCCATCATCTCGGCCGGCAGTGAGATGTGCCTGCAGCAGCCGGTGGAGAGGAGACTGTGAGCGCCCGGGGGCCCCGGTGCGCAGCCCCCGGCCCTGCTCCCTGCCCCAGGGAGCCCTCGGACTCTCAGTCGGGTGCTCTGCCCGGGACTGAGCGTGGACTTGGCCTGGGACGGGGCCTGTTCCCCTCTGCCGTGAGGAACCGGGGGGGCGCGGGCAGCCTTGGCGTGAGCTGCCTGCAGGGCCGGGGGCTGTTCTTGCCAAAGCCCCTGCCTCCTCCCAGCTCCAGCCTTTGCACAGCAGCTCCGCTCCTACCAAAACCCGGCCCCGCTGCCGTGGCCACTCTCCCGCTCACCGGGCTGGTAGAGCTGAGCCCCCTGCGGGGCCGGGTTTTGGTAGGAGCGGAGCTGCTGTGCAAAGGCTGGAGCTGGGAGGGGGGAGGGG